AAAGAGTTCATTTCGCTAATTTCGTGCAATTTGTTTGGTGGAAACTCGGGGACTGTGACCAAGAAAGGCAAAACCGGTCGTGGGATATCGATGAATTTTTAGCAACCTCACTAGTAGTGCATTACAAATAGTCATTAGAGATCTCTATTTACCAGAAGCGATAAGTTCACCGTCACTCGGTCCGGGCTGTTAGTGACTCTTTCGCTGAAGGGCGGTCTTTAAACTCGTTGAAATGAAATGCTTGGATAGTTTACAAGATCAACTGTTGTAGGGGTCTTTGGTTAGGCGCACTGACAGTTTATTCCAAAAAGTCTAACTGTTTTGATGCCAGTGTTTGCAAGACATATGTTCACATATTTTTTTCTATTTTATGTATAAACTGTACGTTTTATGTCTCGTATCCAAGGTGACTAAAACGAACATGGACATTCCACACCTAACAATTCTGCTTCCCAAAGTCAATGGTAGATTCTTTTTTTTAAGTTTTGAGTACTCCATTCATTTCATTCCTTTGAAAATAGTAATTGCTCGATCATATTAGCTCCAATTTTTTCAGCCACTAGTCGATACTTTCATCCAAGTTGCATCACTTTGTGGCAGAATTCTAGGTCTAATTTTTAAAAACGCCTCTCTTTTCAACCGACTATCAAAGCGACCACTATGGCGTACAATCTTATTTCCCTTACCAGAATTTTACCTGCTCACGAGATATTCAAACTGATAAGAAAAAATGGATATTGGTTAAGGACATTTAAATTTCTGTTTCTCGGAGGTGTCTGGTGCATTGCCTATTGCTCTACGAAATTCACTCAAGCGCCTGCAGCTGTTCAGCAAGAACAAACCAATCAGTGCATGTTCGGAGCGGATAAACAATATTCACTTTGCACAAGCTACCGGCGCATGTCCAACCAATCGATAAGCTAAGCTTCGAAAACAGATAGATAAGGCATCACGTGACTATCTCGCGGAGATGCGTATCTGGATGAGGCAGTCCTCGCGACTAAGTGTCCAGACACTCGGCAATATCTATTGATGAGAAGATTCGTTCATTTTATGCAATAACCGCACCTAAAAATTTCGCTGATGCCCGGGGAATTCCGGGGAATGACTCCCGTACTTTTCAGCAGCGGCGCTTTCTAACCAGACTCCACTCACAAAACAAGCACATTTTGACGACCGCAGTCTGAATCAAACGATTCAAAAACCAGACACTGTCCGATTCAAGATGATCGAATAGTTTCAGAAACCGGTCGTGCACGTTTTTGCTTTGCACTGTTATTGTGCCAAAGGCTTCTGTTTCAAAACGTGCGCACACACACACACTTCAGCGAGACGGATTCTCAAATGGTAGAGGCAGTCGCCTCCTTCTCTCTCTCCGTGTGTGTAAGAAAGACAACAATCTTTCCCAAACAACATTTCTTGTTTTGCGAAATGTGAAGTGAATTTCAAAACAAGGGTAGCAATTTTTCTGTGGGGTCGAGGGAGAAGTGACAATCATTCCCCCCGTTCTTGTAGCGAACTTGGGACAGCCTGCTGTGCGGATATCTGGAATAAACATTTCAGACGCCCATGGGCTGCCGCCGCCGCTGGTGCTTCTGTTGACGGTCTCGTGTTGTGCGTGCGTCCGCGCAGAGGAAAGTGATCCATCATTGTGTTTCGGGAGAATTGTATACCGGCTTGGACAGGCATGGTGAGCGGACTTTAGGAGGGTGGGGAAAGGTCTGAAACAGTGATGAAAGCGTTTGCAACGCCTAGACCGTGATTGACAAGGTGTCAGTTTTTCAAGGGCAGAATGCTGCTGTAAAAGAAAATGAGAGACGCTGGTTTTTCGGCCTTCCAAGAAAATCCGGCGATTGGTGGAACTTGAATAATATGATTTAAATGTCGATTTAGACGGATTTGAACGGATCATCAAATGAACAGTGAGGGTCGGACTTAGTTCACACCAATAAAAGTGTGAAACTAATTCATTCCGGGTTAACTGTGACTTGTAGTTCCGTTCGCTGTGACCGATACGATTCGTTCATGTGAACGCGATCTTGCGTATGCGCAACCTAACTCAAACCCACAAACTCCAGAACACAGATGAGTTGTACTTCTACTCAAGAGAACTAAACAAGCCGTAATTGTTGCTAGTTGATTGGAGTAACATGGACGTTGATCAGGCGACAGTTTTCTAAATGTGGCGACAAATTTAGGGCTATTCACTTCCATCAGATTGTATATAATGGCCTAGCAGTCATTAAGGACAACGCTGAGTTTTGTGCACTTCAAAAGGTTGAGGACTCAATGTCAAAACCTGACCCTTAGAATTTGTAAAGTAATTTATCGTGGATGAAACATACACAAGAGTACTCGATGCATCCAAAGTGGGACAACAAGAGCATAGTTTGTTTTTCAATGACCACTCACCATCCTTCAGGTTCCTTTCTGTGGTTTTATTGAGGAATCCGTGGCAGAACAATGATCCTTCGATCGTACCACTCTTCCAGACCGCTAGAAAGATTCACGATGGCTAATATGATGACAGCTTGCCAAAACCTGTAAAGCAGCAGTCGAAATGTCGAGGTTGAATTCGAACCATGAACCTCCCGGCTTTAACCACCGGGTTGTCCTGAGCTGGAGAGTAATAAAGTAGCATAATGGATGCACAAAAACCACCTAGTCGGTCAGTTTTACCGTACACTTTTAGGTACCTGACCAAAAGAAACTCAAAATCTGCATGAATAGTTATCTATATTTTTACACGGAGTTGCTGACAAACAGGTTACAGTCTAACCTCTCGTCAGTCTCCTTTAATCGGATAAAATAAGGTGAACGTTACAATGTAATATTGTCAATATTCCATGTCAAACCATTTGACACGATACATTTTCCAAAAAATAAGTTTTACCGCTGACTACTACTTCATTATCATTATCAGTAGCGTTTGTCCTTGTTCCATTTTTGACTCGGTACAAGCACCTGCTAGCCTCAAACTTGATCGTCGTAGCAGAACAACGGGGAAACCCTGCCTGAACTCATCTCAGGGCTTCACTGAACGGTCTGAGTCATCCAATCAGCCTGGTGAAGCTACTGGCTTTTGGGCCGCCTTGGCCCACCAATCAGCTAGCATGTCGTTGCTTACCAATTAAACTTGGCCTTGCATCTGTCTTATAGTTGGTTAATCTGTCCATCGCTTCATTTAAACACATCTGTGGTTTTGAGGTCATGCTATAGACTGCAACCAAAGAATCTGTCTACCTGTTTCCTCGCAAAGACTGCTTGTCATATTGGGACCTTCATAATATCAGTAGTTGCATTCAAATTATCCAAAGCGATTTCTCAATGAGTGAGAAATTGTTCAGCTGTAGCACCCTTCTGGTACCTAGCTGGAAACACTAGGACTGGGATGCTGTTAGGTTACCCAAGTCTAGACAGGGGAAGTCAAGAGGTAGAGGTCGGGTTCGAACCAGGCGCACTAATCACTGAGCTATCTCTTCCACCTAGTCAATGAGGGGCTGCAATGATTGTTTATTCTTCTCCCTTCTGGGCAAGTTTTGAAAAGAGTCCCCACGGATGAAACTGGGTCAATAATTCGGCATCAGCTGGTTGCAGTTTGGCAGCCTCGTTTGCTGGCAGATTACCATCGATTATCATATCGATCAAAATTTGAAACCATCTATCTGTTCGCTGGTTACAAACCTTGCATCCACAGTCAAGATGACGTATTGTAAACGGAGGTGCAGTTTAGCTTTGGATTATTACCAAACATCTTCACAATCGTCAAGCCAAGTGCTCCAACAGACATGAGCGAACCAATGAGTGTGGATGTTTACAACCGAAACGAACTGAGTCCAAATGACACGAGAGCGGTTGCAGCGCGTCCGTCTGTATTTTTTCTACCAAGGTAAGTTAACCGCCTATCGCGATGCTTCACTCCATCTATCTAGGCACTACATTACGGCTCCGCTAAGAGAGACCCTCTCACTTGGGGACACCCACTATTTCCCCGTTTGTATACCCCTGAAAGAGTGAACAAAAAGCACTAACCACAGTCAAAATGTATAAAAAACTTCCTCAAGAAAGGGAAGAGGAGCTGGCAACTGGTGGATTTCATTCAGCCCATATTGCCACACAGGTTAACAAAGTGCTCGTTCAATGTATTTCGACACTAACTGACCCGCCATGTGTCGGAACGAGTTACCACGTAACGGCCGAATCAAAATACGACATCGGTGTCTGGGTAGGTGTGCCTGAGTTTGAAGCTAAGATATAACATGCGAGATTTGTTTTTGACCGATATTTGTGAGTGGAGACACATCTAGGTGGGTTTGCGGTCAAACTAGATACTGTCCTTCCGAGCCGTGAAGTTTTCTATACCCGCAAGGTGGTAAAACCCCTCCTTCAGGTGTGGTACGCGTTGGTACAAGGAACCAGCACAATTGTTGATTTCGCCAGTCTTTGCATACGTGAATCCTTGCGAGAAACGAAGCCCGGAAAGAGGTCTACCCTGTCTCTGGGTGGCAAACTGTTTGTGATGAACAGGGGCTTGATGGATCTAAGCGTGCGTTGTGAAAAGAACAGGTTCGCAAGTCATCGAAAAAGTGGAATTCATCGTGCAAAAGTGAATAAGGGAGTGCATATCCCGTCCAAAAGGTGCTCCTTCGTATTTATACGAGAAGAACCGCAATTTCTGACGCATATCTCCGGCAGAAACCAACCGGGTAATAGACTGTTGGTAGGAATAATAGTCCTTAATCACAGATGTTTTCACGTGTTATGCAACAAAGCAAACAAAATGTTGGAATCTCATGTGTTTACCTAACTTCTAATCTGGTGACCTGCATAATACGGACTGAAAACCTCAATGTTTTGTACTGCAGTAGGAACAAGCCTTGTTCTGCAGGAAGTCAGATATTCTGAAAATAACAAGATTCAGTACGCAGTGGATTTTCCACCCGAAAAGAAAAGTGGTGATTCCGGCTACAGCAAGTTGACTGTTGAATGGGCCACTGTACCATCATCATCATCATTATCATCATCATCATCCGAAGCATCATCATCATCATCCGAATCATCCGAATCATCATCATCATCATCAACATCATCATCATCATCATCATCATCATCATCATCATCATCATCATCATCATCATCATCATCATCATCATCATCATCATCATCGCTATCATCATGCACTCTGGGGCGACTTTTTGTGAAAGTAAGTAGTATGGAATAGTACCAAGCTTAAGCTAAAACTACTTGGCCCCAGTGAAGCAGCTCTGCTAGCGGGTGGAAGACTCATTCGGAAAGTACTGTATGTAAATCTCTCTTGAAAGTAGGCACTAGGAAATTCCTAATTTTTGTGGTTCCAATCCCAAATGAGGGCACTAAATTTCGTTTACCGGAACTATTCGAGATTCCCAGACTCAAACATCCTACGAGAATGAAGACCTCGAAAGATGGTAAGACAACCCTGTTCCAGTACCACTTTTCGGGCAGGGGGTTACCAAAGATTGCAGTGAAGGTAGTTAGGCCCTGTATTATGCATCTCACATCATCGTTTTCCAAAAAACAGTATGGTTTTCCGTGCCCAGTTGACAGTGGCGCAAGCAGTCAGGCTAACCGCTGACCGGCGCGACCTGCCCCCCCAGGTTGGGGTCCACGTGACCTCTTCAGTGCATGACGGAATGAGAATCTGACATGATTGTGGTAGGCTCGCACCAAGTCCCTTCACCTTCCGCCTCTACTCTTTTCTTCACAATAAGGTATTCACAACACAACAGCAAAACTTTTAAAATCTGAGTTTGTGCTCTTGATGACGGCAATGCATCAGTCTGAAAACGCACGGCGGACTAGTTGTCTCCAACCGAAAATGTTTCATTCTGTTTACCTGCTTCCGGAGCTATTTTTCGTTGTTGATACTGTATACTTTATTAATAAAAATAGTATTTATTCCTTATCAAAGCGGGGCATTAAAAGAACAATGAACTGAGACCCGCGAAAGTTCTGTCTTCAAACGGTTCTCCGAATACACATGGTTACCACCCGGACAACAAACACCGTTTCCCCAAATTTCTAGGATGTCCCTCTTCTTGAATTTTCAATATTCCTGGTGTGCTAACCATAAACAGCAATTTCGAATTTTACTTAGTATTCGAATACAGGTAACAAACTTTTAGTTTGTAAGAAAATCCTGAAAAAAAAATCAGAACTCCGGCTAGTCTAATTCCAAACAAGCGTTAAGCACACGTCCAACAATTGGCCAATTGAAACCGGATGGAAATTCCCAAGAAATGAATAAGCATGCATCTTAAATATGCTGTGGAAAAGATGTTTGATAATATCTTTCAAGGTCTACAAGGCTATCGATCCAATGTTGAATTTTCGAATGGAATCAGTGCGGTCCTGAATAGCAGCAGTTCATACTGAGGTGCGAGGGTCACGTGGCCTCTGACTACGGCAAAAAATATGGCAGTCATTCAGAAACGTCCAGGAATTTTTCATTCACATGCATAGCACTGGCGATCAGGTCCTCCTCGCCACTTATTCATCGCAAAGCCTTGAGATCTTTGGCAAAAACTATTATTTTGTCGCAAAGGGTTCGTTTTTTCCAATACCATCTTCATGCAACCTGAGGATTGTTTTACTGCGCATGAGTTAGAAAAGAAATCTTGAAGAAATAATTGTGCATCAGTGCCTAATACAATGTTAATATAAAGAAAGTGAAGCAACGGCTTCGAGAACAACAGGAACGATTGATTTGCGAGCCCAACTAACGGAGTTTCATGAGGGTGCTCGAGACACGAACATCATCAACTCTTGGACGGCGATCATTTGTGGTCAGTGACACCACAGTGGCTCCGTAAGCCACAAAAGGACTTCCAGTACTGAGTCGATTCCTTTCGTTGTTGTATTTTATCCGTATTTTCGTGGTAGGCACTTCTGATCGGGTATTTTGAACAGCGACTTTGCCGTTGGACAGCATGTTCCCATCGTGGTCAGCGAACCACGAACTACTTTACTCACTTTTATCCAATTCGATTGGCACATTGCCGCGGTGCCATTTTTCATACACTCCCTTTGAATTATAAGTCCACCTTTGGCACGTACCAGTTCTAAAAAAACTTGCAGCACGAATCCCGCACACCCCTCCCTCTAGGCCACCTCCCACCTCCACGGACCGCATCTTCTTTTTGCCTGCGACTTTCTTCTTTTTATACTTTTGTACGTATGTGTATATATAGTACAAAGGCATAGTTTAAAGTTATTTAGAATGTGCAAAAGATTGTATTAGTAGTGTGTGTGTGTGTGTTCGCAACATATCGGCAAAAGGTCGAACAGCTGGTTGCTCTGCAATTCGCCGACGCGACCACGTTTCAGCACCGCCACCACCGTCAGCCGCGCTGTGCGCGTTCTGTTCCGTTTCCCGTTGGCGCACGCACACGTATATAGTCGTGTGAAGGAAAACCTACACACACACACACACACACACACACACGAAAGTCTAAAAAGCGCATGCATTGTTCTGCATGTCTTCCAACTGTTATAACATTCGAATGATTCCTACATACTTTTTTTTGTTAGCGCGCGTGTGCAACCCATTGATCTCTCGCTGATCGTGTGATTTCGTCTCTGTGGGACAAAAAACAACAACAAACAAACAAACATTGGCCATGTGTTTGGAAATAACTGTTGCCCACGAATAGGTGAGAGCTTGATAGACCAGAATCGGGAATCGGGGGTAATCAACTTTTCAGAGACTTTTCAGCACGCACGAGATTACCCGACGCGTTGACCGGTGAAATAAAGTTGCTCATTTCTCTAATCTATCAGCCACAGTTCACAAAATTCACACTTATCTGCAATTTTGTTTGGTTTTAATTGGATATTCACTTTGGAATTCTTCACCTTCATTTGAGATTCATTTGTGATTTGGCTAGGTTTCACGTGTGCTATGTCCGGTTTCGAATGCGACAGCAACTCGGGGACTGCTCTTGACTAATGAGACCGAAGAAAGACGAACCCTGTAGTAGACGACCTCATCAGTTGTTTGGCCCGCTAGTGTTTGAATCAGGTAGTGAAAATCAGGTCAGCATATTCATTTTTGTTGTCAGGATTCAATAAAGTTCCCGCGTTTTTCTATTTAAGATTCAAGACCTTAGACAGGCCACTTCCAGATTCTTTAGAGCATTAAGCTACT